GCGGCCGTGGAGCGGCAGCTGAGGCTGGAGCTGGCCCTGCTCGACAACGTCACCGAGGAGCTGCGCCTGAAGGACTGGGAGCATTCCGCGGCGCTCCGGAACGTCTCCGTGATCCGCGGTGAGCGGGATCGGGAATGGGCCGGGAGCAGGAATGGGCCGGGATCGGGAATGGGCTGGGATCAGGAGTGGGCTGGGATCGGGAATGGACCGGGATTGGGAGCAGGCCGGGATCAGGAATGGGCTGGGATCAGGAGCGGGCTGGGATCGGGAATGGGTCAGGATCAGGAAGGGTCTCCCCGTGGTCCTGAGGGGAGGATGGAGTGGTGTCACCGAGGTCCAAATCTCTGGGGTGTGGCCGGGCTGGGGGAATCCATCACGGAGCGGTGGAGTTGTTGGGGTTGGAAAAACTCTCTGAGGGATCCCAGTGCTCTGCCCCAGTGCTCCCAGTGCTCCCAGTGCCCCAACCATTCACCACTGCAGATCTGAGTCCCCCCAAATCCACATGGATTTTAATCCCTCCAAGGATGGTGACTCCAAAACCCCCCTGGGCCTGCTCCAGTTCTCCTCAGCCCTTTCCATGCAGGAATTGTTCCCAATATCCAGCCTGAGCCTGCCCTGGCCCAGCCTGAGGCCATTTCCCCTTGTCCTGTCCCTGTTCCCTGGGAGCAGAGCCCGAGCCCTCCTGGCTGTCCCCTCCTGGCAGGGACTTGTGCAGAGCCACAAGGTGCCCCCGGAGCCTCCTTTTCTCCAGGCTGAGCCCCTTTCCCAGCTCCCTCAGCCTCTCCTGGGGCTCCAGCCCCTTCCCAGCTCCCTCAGCCTCTCCTGGGGCTCCAGCCCCTTCCCAGCTCCGTTCCCTGCCCTGGACACGCTCCAGCCCCTCCAGGGCTCTCCTGGGCTCGGATCCAGCTCTGTCCATCCCTGCTCGGGTGTCTCCATCCCCTCAGAGTCTCCAAACATTCCCCATCCCTGGGTGGGAAGAAAGCTCCCAAGGCTCCCTCAAGGATGCAGAGAAGAAACCACTTCCCCCATCCCACCTTCTCCTTTTCCAGCCTCAGCCATTCCCAAATCCCGGAAGAGTTTGGGTGGGAAGGGCCCTTCAATCCCATTCCGACTCCAATACCTCCCACTGTCCCAGGCTGCTCCAAACCCCATCCAGCCTGGCCTTGGGCATTCCCAGCATCCAGGGGCAGCCACAACTTCCTTGGGAATCCTGTGCCAGGGAGGGGGAAACCCCACGGAGAATCCCAGGAGCTCTGGGAATTCCCGCTGGAATTCCGGATGGAAAGGCTGGGGCTGTTCCCCTTTTCCAGCTGCTGATCAGGAGGGGCCGGATGTGGTTGATCCCCAGGAGATCCATCCCCCTGGAATACCCGGGACAGTTCCCAGGGTCCTTTCCCTCATCCCTGGGGGATGGCAGCTCCCAATCCCCTTTTTTGGGGATTCTGGGATCCCTCTGCCTCAATATTTCCCTATTTCCCCACTCCTGCATCCCGCTCTTCCCTCCCCATCCCCGGGAATGACGTCACCCGCTCTGGGATGAAGCCACCAAGGGTGGGATCCAGCCCTGGAATCTCGTTATCCCAAACCAAATCCCTTCCCGAGCTCCGGATTTATCGGCCCTGACACATTCCTGGCATCCCGAACTTCCCTCTCCTCCCATCCCATGGATAATTCCCGGGGCCTCGTGCCCAGCTGGATTCATCCCAGCTCCAGATGTCCTTGGGTGAGTCCGTTGTGTTCCCGGATTTGGCCGAGCCATTCCCGGCCTTTCCCTTTCTCCCCGAATCCTCGGCTATCCCGGGATCTGGATCCTGGATCCCGGATTTGGCCGATGGCAGCTCAGGAAGGGCCCCGGCTCCTCTCGGGCATCCAGGGATTGTTCCCAGCGCTTCCCGTGCCTCGGGAAGGAGAACACGGAGGGGTTCTGGGTCTCGGGAGAATTCCCGGGATCCGCCGCCTGCCCGGATCCGCTCGCGCCACCCCGGGGTGGGATCTGCTGGATCCCAGCCGGTCCCAAAGGCCACAGGAGGATCCCATCCCTCAGGGATTGGAGGCCGGGAGGGCGGGATGCAGCAGGAATGGGAATTCCCGCCTACTGTGGGAAGGGTTGGGAGCCTCTCCCAGCCACCCTTCCCAGATTTCCTCCAGCCCGGCCGCTCCTGTCCCAAGAGCTGCTCCTGGGACAGGACCATCCCGGTAGGAATTCCAGAAAATCTGCGGCTGGCCCATCCCTGGAAGGGTCCATTCCCAGGATCCGGGGTCCATTCCCAGAGTCTGGAGTCTGTTCCCAGGGTCTGGAGTTCATTCCCTAGGATCTGGGATTGATCCCAAGGGTCTGGAGTCCATTTCTGGGGTCTGGGGCCCATCCCAAGGGTCTGGAGTCTGTTCCCAGGCACTGGAGTCCATTTCAGGGGTCTGGAATTTTTTTCCAGGATCTGGGGTCCATTCCCAGGATCCAGGGTCCATTCCCACGATCCGGGGTCCATTCCCATTCCTAACCCATCCCTCCATCCCCTCAGCCCCGGAGCTGCTCCCCCCTGGGGCAGAGACAGTCAGGGCCGGGAATTCCACATTTCCCATCATCCTTTCCCATCCTTGACCATTGCCAGCCCAGGATGCTTCCCAGCCTTGACATGGATCTGGATCCCATTCCGGATCCCACTACAGATCCCACTCCTGGTCCCACTCCGGATCCCGCTCCTGATCCCACTCCAGATCCCACTCCGGATCCCGCTCCAGATCCCACTCCAGATCCCACTCTGGATCCTGCTCCAGATCCCACTCCTGGTCCCACTCCAGATCCCACTCCAGATCCCGCTCCTGATCCCATTCTGGATCCTGCTCCAGATCCCACTCCAGATCCCACTCCAGATCCCACTCCAGATCCCACTCCCGATCCCACTCTGGATCCTGCTCCAGATCCTACTCCAGATCCCACTCTGAATCCTGCTCCAGATCCCACTCTGGATCCTGCTCCAGATCCTACTCCAGATCCCACTCCAGATCCCACGGATTCCTACAGAACATTCCCAGCGCCCAATTCCCGATCCATGAAAACCACTGCACATCCCTGTTCCTCCTGAGCCTTTTCCATCACCCTGGCTGGATCTCAGCTTCCCGAGTTCCCGGCTTTTAGGATTTCTGGGAAAAGACTTCCCGATGCTCCCCCCGGATGGGTGGGAATGACCCTTCCCAGCCTCTCCCTGCCCTCTTTTCCCTTATCCCAGGAATTCTTTCCCACCCCCCCCTTCTATTTTTTTCTCCTCAAATTCCTTCTTCCCATTGTTTCGGCTCCCGATTCTTTCCAGCTTTTGGGATTTGACCCTTTGCAGGATGAGGGACAAAACCCGGGACTGGAATTTTCCACTCGTTCCCGGGATTTGACCAAAATCCCGCTGCCAATCCTCTCCTCGAGGATCATCTCCAGAATTCCCAGAGGATCATCCCGGCTGGACAAACGTCCCTGCCAGTGGATGATTCTTAAAATCCTTTCCAACCCCCAGGATTCCGGGATTCTAGGAACATTCCCAAATTTTCCCTGATCTCTTGCAATGGTTTCATTGGGAGTGTCCCGGCTTTTGGTCTAAAGGAAAATTCCCAGAGTCACGCTCAAGGTGGAGCCTCCAGGTGAATTTTCCTGGCACTTGGAGCAGGTTGGTGGAATTCCAGTTTGGGATTTAACATCCGGAAATCCCGGAGGTTTAAAATCACAAAACCGCTCCGGCAGCTCCTCTGTCCCCGCTTTGTTCCCAGGTTTCTCGGGGATTCCTGGATCTCCCTGTCCTGCTGCACATTCCTGAATCCGGGATGTGATTCCCGTTGTCTTCCAGGGCCGCCGGGACCCAAAGGAGACCGAGGCACGGAAGGGATGGAGGGACCGCCTGGCCTTCCCGGCCTTCCCGGCCTTCCCGGCCTCCGAGGTGAGGAAAACATTCCCAGACTCCACAAAATCCCCCCGATCCCATCCCGACATCATCCAGGGGCTGATCCAAAGCCCGTGGGACCATTCCCGGTGACTTCCCGGCCCATCCCTCGGGGATGGATCCGCTCTCCCGGATCCTGGAATGTCCATCCTGGAGGGGAAAACGCCACAGCCCGCCCGGCTCCAGGAAATCCACGCTGATATTCCCAGATTCCGGGCTCTCCCAGGAACTGGCGGCCCCATTCCCAAACGGAGCCTTCCGAGGCAACAGGGCTGGAATTGCTGCTGGATCCCTCCGGCAGATCCCGGCAGAGGGGCCTCGGCTCCCAGACTTTTCTGGGATGTTTTTTCCAATGTTGGGAATGCCGGTTTTCCCACCACCCCTTCTTAATCCCATTGTTTTTGGGAGGAATTCCCACCAGAGTACATTCCCACCCTGAGGAAATCTTGGATCCGGCGGTTTGGGATTTGAGGGGAATCCTGGGAATGCTGGCACCGAGTGTAACGGAGGATCCCCCTGGGAACCACTGGGTCCCACGGAGGTGACGGATCCATCCCGCCCGGAGCGGGGATCCGCTCGGATCCCGCAGGATGGAGCCCTGGAGCCAGAGCCAGACCCGGATCCAGATCCAGGTCCAGATCCAGGTCCAGGTCCAGATCCAGATCCAGGTCCAGGTTCAGGTCCTGACCCAACTCCAGATCCAGGTCCAGGTCCAGATCCAGATCCAGGTCCAGGTCCAGGTCCAGATCCAGGTCCAGGTCCAGGTCCAGGTCCAGATCCAGATCCAGGTCCAGGTCCAAGTCCAGGTCCAGGTCCAAATCCAGATCCAGATCTAGGTCCAGGTCCAGATCCAGGTCCAGGACCCGGAGCAGATCCAGATCCAGGTCCCATGTGGATGAAGGTCACCTCCAAGGCTTGGATGTGTTCCCGGTGAAGGAATTCCCAAACTCCAGCCCCAATTCCCACCTCCCAGAGATCAGGAATGCTCACACCAGGGGCTTTCATCCACCTCCTTCTCCAAGAAACATCCAAGCCCCGGGACAACAGGGATTCAGGAGACCTGGGGCTCCTGGGGGACACATCCCGATTCCTTGGCATGGATCCTGGTTTTCCTTCCTCAATCTCCAGCTTTGGAGCCCAATTTCCTCCATCCGAGCCTGGGGACGCTCAGAAATTCCTCAGCTCCGGATAAATCCATCCCGGATCCCGAGGAAGCACAGGAAAAGGATGGGCTGGACTCTCCGCGGTCTCCCGGCGTTCCCGGCCCATGGGGAGCGTGGAATTCTGCTGGAAGCGGCTGATTTTGTGTCCTCGTTCTCATTCCAGGCCTTCCCGGGGAGCGGGGACCCCCCGGCCCGCAGGGATTGAAGGGGGACCAGGGAGAGCTGGGCCCTCGCGGCCCCGCGGGAACGCGCGGATTCAAAGGTACGGACGCCATTCCGGCCGGGATCCGGGAGCGGAGGAGATCCCGGGATGAAGGGAAGGGAGAGCGTGGGATCCTCTGGATCTCCTGGCGGAACGGGAATCCCAACAATTCCTACACTGCCGTTCTGACCCCGTCCCAACCATTCCCGCTGGAGAGGGAACCGATGGATTTGGGATGTCCTCCCATTCCATGGGGCTCCCTGGGGACCTCCCAGGCCTGGCTCCGGCAGGGATTTGGGAATAATCTCCCGGTTCTTTTCCGGGGTGTCCCTGGGTCTTCCCACAGCCGGGAAAACCGTGGGAGTAGGAAGTGGGGATTTGGCGGGAGTGTCTGGCCCCGGACACCCGGGATGGGAAATTCCAAGCTGCAATCCCAAAAAATGCCCTTTGAGCCTCAGAATTCCTGCTGGGAAGAGCTGGGAGTTGTAGGGAATGGAAACCTGGAGTGGGATTGGGATCGAGACTGAGATTGGGATCGGGATTGGGATTGGGATCGGGATTGGGATTGGGATTGGGACAGCAATTGGGATTGGGATTGGGATTGGGACAGCAATTGGGATTGGGATTGGACCTTAAAGATCCTTGGATTACATGTCCTTCCACATCTTCCACTATCCTAGGTTGCTCCAGAAGGTTGGATTGGGATTGGGATTGGGATTGGGATTGGGGTTGGGATTGGGCTAGGGATTGGGATTGGGATTGGGATTGGGACCTTAAAGATCCTTGGATTCCATGTCCTTTCACATCTTCCACTATCCCAGCTTGCTCCAGGAGGTTGGAAAACCCCTGGATACACCCCTGGAGCACCAGGAATGTTGGGATTTTCCCACTGGCTGAGGGCTCCTTAAATCCAAAAAGCAATCCCAAAAATCGCAGCCGGGTTGGGTTGGGATTCTCCAGCCTGGTGCTGGATTTGCTCGGCAAAGAATCATGGAATTGTTGAGGCTGGGAAAGTTCTCCGCGTTCTGAGCATTCCCAGCCCGATCCACGTCCCCCAGCGCCCCATTCCCATGGATTCCAATCCCTCGGGAATGGGGGCTCCGACGCCAGACTCGATGGGCTCCGAGGGCTTTTCCAACCTCAACAATTCCATGAAAACCTCAAAGCCGTTCCCGGATCCCATCCCCATCCCTCGTGTCCCAGTGGATGGGGTCACCCACAGGGCTCCCGAAAATCCATCCCCATCCCCCTCCCCTTCCCGGAGATCGGGAATGTCGGAGACGGGCGTTCAATCCAACCCCTTTTCCAATGAAAATCCAACGCCTCCGGCAGCGCTCAGGCTCTTTGGGATTCTCTGGAATTTACAGGAAACAGACCCAGATCCGGGCACGGATCCAAAGCCGGGCTTTGCCTTAAATCCCGGATTTCTGTCCTATCCTTCTCCCAGGATTTCCTTCCCCCCCAGTTCCCCGGGAATTGCATCCCAGGAATGCTGGGATGGGGGGTTTGGGTGTGGAGGAGCCTCCTCGTGGAAAATTCCAGGTTTAAACCTCCCCCGAGTCCTTTCCCTGCTCGGTGTTTTCCCATTTCCAGTGGGTTTTCCCTCAAAGTGGCCCCAGGGAAGGAATTTTTTTCCCTCATTCCCAAACGAGAAAAATTCTCCTGGGAAGGAAGGACAGGTCCACCCCCCCCCACTTTTCCATGGAAAAGGAAACACACCCAGGAGGAAACAGCAGGAAAAATCCGAGCTGGGGTGGGAAATTCCGGGATGAGTTCGGGGGGGATCAGAGAAGATTCCTTCCGGAACATCCCCAGGCTGGAGTTTTTGGGAATGTTCCAGGAGGCGGAACCTGATTCCACCTGGGAAAATGGGGATTGCTGGAGTCTCCTGGGGATTTTCCCAAGGTTTTGGGCTCCGTCATTCCCTGCGGATCCATGGGAAGAGCTGAGGGTCTCTGCCGTGGTGTCCGGAACTAAGATTTGTCCACAATCCCCAAAAAAAAGACGGGAAAACGGCCTGGAACGTTCCGATGGTCACCGGGGCAGGAGGGACCGGGAGAGGCTCCTCCGGAATTCCCGGGCTCTGTCCCAGCCCCGAGGCTCCCTCCAGGCTCCCAGGGAATCCCATCCCATTTTTTTGGGATGTTCTCCAGCCCCGACACTTCGGGAGCTGAAGTCGCCGAGTTATTCCCAGCAGGAATTCCCTGGGAAGAGGGGAGAGGTGGGAAAAGGGGGAAAGGAGGATCTGGAGAAGGCCGGGGAAGCTGTGGCTGCCCCCGGATCCCTGGGAATGTCCAAGGAAAGGCTGGAGCAGCCTGGGATAGCGGGAGGTGGCAGGCTTGGAATGGGCTGGGATTGAAGGTCCCTTCCCACCCGACCCATCCCGGGATTCCCGGAATTCTCGGAGCGGTGATGGAAACTGGGATGAGTTGGGGATTTAGGGATGCTGCAGGGATGGGAATCCTCTTCCACATCTCCCAATCCCAGCGATCCCAGAGATCCCTGGATCCCTCCAGCTCGGCCTTGGGCACTGCCAGGGATCCAGGGATTCTCTGGGAATTCCTTCCCAAGCTCCCAGCTCCCCTTTCCCAGTGGGAAGCCATTCCCTGGCTCCTGGCCCTGCGGCCCTTTCCCAAATCCCAGCTCTCCCGCAGCCCCTGGAGCCTCGGGAAGCGGCTCCCAGGATTCCCGGGATCCTTCCCTGATCCGGCTGCACATTCCCGGCTCTCCCGGAGCAGCTCCGGGGCCTCCTCTGGAATTTCTCCATCCGGAGTCAGGATCCGGGGCTGCTCTGCTCCCCCTTTTCCCACCGCCCCAACTTTGGGATCATCCCAGGCCCTTTCCCGGATCATTCCAGCCTCTCTCCCAGCCCATCCCGTTCCCAATCCCGTTTTCCCTGCTCTGGCCAGGCTGGATCTGCTCCAGCATCCCGACCGCATCCCGAGGCGGGAGCCGCATCCCTGGCCGCATTCCCGGGATTTCCATCTGGATCCCATCAGCTCCGGGCCGCTTTCCCTCATCCCACACATCCCCCCGGAGCCATCCCGCGCTCCCGGAGCCTCCCAGGGAAAGGGCGGGGATTTCCTGCCCAGCTCTGGGATTTGGGATCGTTTTCCATCCGATGTTTTCCTTGATCCCGGATTTCGGAGCCGCTCCGGGCGTTGTTTGTCGTTCCTCGGGATGGGGCCGAGCCGGGATCGGCAAATCCCAGCCCGCGGTCCTGGAAAACTTGGGAATGAGGGAGGAGGAGGCTCCGGGAGAGCCAAGGGATGACAGAGCTCGTTAGCGAGCTCATTAACGGGGTTAATTAAAGCCTCGTTGGGATATGAAATCATTCCCGGGATATCGGATGGGCGGGAATGTTTATCCAGCTGCTCCCCGGCATCGCCCTTTTCCATGGACACGGGCTCGGCGCTTCCACAGGGATTTGGGAATCCCCGAGCCCGGGCCCCGAGTGAGGATTTCCCACCCCAAATCGGGAATTTCATCCCAAAATCCAGAGTTTCGCTGCTTTTCACAGGATCAGGAATTCCAGGAACACCAGGCCTTCGGTTCCCTATGCCCCGGGACGCGCTCCCGGAGGATTTTTGGGATTTTCCCGTCCTTCCGGAGCAGGGATGGGAATTCCCAACAATTCCGGCTCCTTCCCTTCCCAGGTGAGCGCGGCCCCAAGGGGGACAAGGGCGACCGAGGCGCTGCCGGCGGCACCGGTGAGTTCCCGGATCCCGGATCCATCCCGAGGAATTCTTTGGGAATTCGGAGCCTGGGGAGTGCTGGGAAATTCCTGACACAAAGAGGCTGCCGGGAAAACCTTCCCGGGGTTTTCCTGCCCGGGAGAGGAGGAGCCGGGAAGCGGGAGAGGTGGGGGGAGCGGGAAAGGACCGGGAATGGCGGAGGGAAGAGATCGGGAATGTTGGAGGGAAGAGTTCGGGAATGGCGGAGGTGTCCTGCAGGCTTGGGACACCGTCCTGCCATCCCAGGGACATCCCTGCCCATTCCATTCCCATGGAATTGGGGACATCCCATCCCTGCCTGGGGACATTCCCATGGAATCCCATGGAATCCCAGCTTGGGAGCATCCCATCCTTGGGGACATTCCCTGGAATCCCATGGAACCGGGGACATCCCATCCCAGCCTGGGGACATTCCCTGGAATCCCGGGCCCATCCCAGCCCCCGCCGGAGCCCGGCCGTGACCGGGGCCGATCCCCGGGGATTTTTGGGAATGCCGCTCCCACCCGGATCCGGCGGCGGGAGCAGGGCTGGGATGGCCGGGAGCTGCTCCGGGGGGGGCACCGAGGGATGGGGACACTGGGAATGGTGATGATGTCATCAGGGATGGTGATGATGTCACCAGGAATGGTGATGATGTTACCAGGGGTGATGTCACCAGGGGTGATAATGTCACCATGGATGATGCCACAATGGATTATGATGATGTCACCAAGGGTGACGATGATGTCACCAGGGATGGTGATGATGTCATCAGGGATGACAATGATGATGATGATGATGATGATGATGTCACCATGGATGATGATATCACCATGGATGATGCCACAATGGATTATGACAATGTCACCATGGACGATGTCACCATTCCTGGAGATTCCAGCTTGGATGATGTCACCATGGATGACATCACCATCCCTTTGATGATGTCACCATCCCTGGAGATGTCACCATGGATGACATCACTGTGGATGACATCACCATGGGTTACATCATCACGGATGACATCACTGGATAATGTCACCATGGATGACGTCACCACGGATGATGACGATGCTCATCAACCATGGGTGACATCACCACAGATGATGATGACACCATCCCCCACAATGATGGCAATCATCCACCATGGGTGACGTCACCATGGATGACATCACCATGGATGACATCACCGTGGGTGACATCACCGTGGGTGACATCACCATGGGTGACATCACCACGGATGCCATCCCGGTGCCATCCCAGTGCCATCCCAGTGCCGGTGCCATCCCCCGGGTTTGGTTCTGGTTCCCGCAGCTCCGGCCGAGGGCTCGGTGCGGCTGCAGAACGGCTCCGGCCCCCACGAGGGTCGCCTGGAGATCTTCCACGAGCGCCGCTGGGGCTCGGTGTGCGACGACGGCTGGGACCGGCGCGACGGC